ATCTGAGGCTAATTAGATCGCCAGCAGTCTATTTCAAAGCCAAAATTGGCAAATGACCGTGATCGACAATGGCATCGTCGATGAAGCAACTATATTGCACCAACGGGCTCACGCACTGAAGGGCAAACAATAGCGTGGCCACAGATTTTTTCGAAATGAGGGTATGAATGGCCATGACCAAAGACTTTGACGTGTAAGAATTGGGCTCAGACAATTTTGCTTACTAAGACGCTCATTTCTTCGCCACCTTGGCTGCGACGAAGTTTCCACGGCTCTTCACATGACATACATGGAAATATCAGATTCAACCGAAAAGTCGAAAAAAAAAACGAAAACGGCTCGAAAATGCTACTGTGAACGTATACAGTACTAGAGTACTACATATTAACTAGTGCACCTCTGCAGCAGTCGGATAACTGTAAATTCAGACTCGGTGCTAGGTATAGAAATGAACAAGGAATCAAAAAAATGAAACGGTACACTCGATGTTGCAGCAATAGAATCATCGTTATATGGAGCTAGAAGTCCGATGTTAGCAATTCCAAGGACGGAGGACAAAGACTAAGAACTCACGCATTTCGGCAATTCGACCACTGTGTCCCATGGGCCATGCGCCTCAAATCAAGTTCGGGATATCCTTTGGGTATTACCAATATAGTCCAAGGAGTATAGAATGCATGTCTGGAGGCGGGAGGTACCCAGAAAAGGAGCTGGTGGTTGGGTCCCATGATCCATCCATCAGCCTGCAGCAAGAAAGGGGTTGAATTGGAATTATGATGAAAAGTGGGTTCCAGCAAGTCAGCGGGGTTTAGCAGGGCGTGTTCTTGGCTGGACGAGAAGGAAATGACGTGACTGTTATAAATGCTGGTTGGCATGGTACGGTTTTGTTGGGTGGGAGGTGTAGTGCTTCGATGGAGTGAAAATGAGGAAGAATCTGGCTCTCTGGACATGGGGGATAGCTGCACTTTCACTGCATTCCACAACCGCACAGTGTTATCCAAAGAACCAGACGCGATGCGAGTACCATCCGGTGAGAACGAGACTGAGTAAACTGAACTAGTGTGCCCCTCCAAGGGCTCACCCAATGGCTGTCCCGTGATTGCATCCCACAGCCGCACAGTCTTATCCCAAGAACCAGACGCGATGCGAGTACCATCCGGTGAGAACGAGACTGACAAAACCGAACTAGTGTGCCCCTCCAAGGGCTCACCCAATGGCTGTCCCGTGATTGCATCCCACAGCCGCACAGTGTTATCCCAAGAACCAGACGCGATGCGAGTACCATCCGGTGAGAACGAGACTGACGAAACCGAACTAGTGTGCCCCTCCAAGGGCTCACCCAATGGCTGTCCCGTGATTGCATCCCACAGCCGCACAGTCTTATCCCAAGAACCAGACGCGATGCGAGTACCATCCGGTGAGAACGAGACTGACAAAACCGAACTAGTGTGCCCCTCCAAGGGCTCACCCAATGGCTGTCCCGTGATTGCATCCCACAGCCGCACAGTCTTATCCCAAGAACCAGACGCAATGCGAGTACCATCCGGTGAGAACGAGACTGAGTAAACTGAACTAGTGTGCCCCTCCAAGGGCTCACCCAATGGCTGTCCCGTGATTGCATCCCACAGCCGCACAGTGTTATCCCAAGAACCAGACGCGATGCGAGTACCATCCGGTGAGAACGAGACTGAGTGAACCAAACTAGTGTGCCCCTCCAAGGGCTCACCCAATGGCTGTCCCGTGATTGCATCCCACAGCCGCACAGTGTTATCCAAAGAACCAGACGCGATGCGAGTACCATCCGGTGAGAACAAGACTGAGTGAACCAAACTAGTGTGCCCCTCCAAGGGCTCACCCAATGGCTGTCCCATGATTGCATCCCACAGCCGCACAGTGTTATCCTCCGAACCAGACGCGATGCGAGTACCATCTGGTGAGAACGAGACTGACAAAACCGAACTAGTGTGCCCCTCCAAGGGCTCACCCAATGGCTGTCCCGTGATTGCATCCCACAGCCGCACAGTCTTATCCCAAGAACCAGATGCGATGCGAGTACCATCCGGTGAGAACGAGACTGACGAAACCTCTCTAGTGTGCCCCTCCAAGGGCTCACCCAATGGCTGTCCCGTGATTGCATCCCACAGCCGCACAGTGTTATCCAAAGAACCAGACGCGATGCGAGTACCATCCGGTGAGAACGAGACTGAGTGAACCAAACTAGTGTGCCCCTCCAAGGGCTCACCCAATGGCTGTCCCGTAATTGCATCCCACAGCCGCACAGTCTTGTCGTGCGAACCAGATGCGATGCGAGTACCATCCGGTGAGAACGAGACTGACGAAACCTCTCTAGTGTGCCCCTCCAAGGGCTCACCCAATGGCTGTCCCGTGATTGCATCCCACAGCCGCACAGTGTTATCCCAAGAACCAGACGCGATGCGAGTACCATCCGGTGAGAACGAGACTGACCGAACCCAACTAGTGTGCCCCTCCAAGGGCTCACCCAATGGCTGTCCCGTGATTGCATCCCACAGCCGCACAGTCTTATCCCAAGAACCAGACGCGATGCGAGTACCATCCGGTGAGAACGAGACTGACTCAACCGAATCAGTGTGCCCCTCCAAGGGCTCACCCAATGGCTGTCCTGTCGCTGCATCCCATAGCCGCACAGTGTTATCCTGCGAACCAGACGCAATGCGAGTACCATCAGGTGAGAATGCAACTGATCGAACCCCACCAGTATGCCCATTGATTACGATCTGAACGACTGTCCAGTTCAAATCACGGCCGCATGCAAGACGAAGGTTATTCGGAAACCTTGACGTGAATTTGGTAGCCATGGCGGAATTGACGGGTGAGAATGGGAGCCCTGATAAATACAGATGTGGCGTGCTGTGCAAAATCATGCTGCCAGACACTTGGATGAATCTTTGTACATCCATCGTGGTCGTCCGCAAATCTTCGTATCCAGAATGACCCTGTATTTATTCATGAGCTGCTCATCCGACACTGATTCGCAGGCATGTGCTCACCTTCAGCCACTTGGCAACGAGTGGAAGCACAATAATTGCACCCCTGATTGCATTGAGAAGTCCGAGTGCTTCGATCCAGAAGAGCAGTCGCTCGTCGTCGAAAAAAGATCTCATCGTTTTTGCGAGCTCATCGTCGAAGTCCGTTGCTTGAACGTGAGTAGCCCAGAATCGACAGGAATAGGATAGATGTGGGGAAATGGATGTTTTGACTCGTTGAGCCAGTCCGGTATCTTCGCGATTAGGGAGGTATGATGACTTTAAATCACATATATTGAAGCGAAGGCCATGTTCCATCACTCGAAGTGATGCCAACGCTGAGTCATGGTGTTGCGCCTTCGTCATCTCGACGAAAAAGTCTCCGCTGGATGATTGGTCTGTGAGGAACTCTTGGAAGGATGCGTGAAGGGGTTTGACAGGGATGTGTGAATCCGTCGTGCCGCTGAGGAGGGATCCCATATGTTGTATGATGTCCACATTGTAATGTTTGTTGTGGTTTGGAAAACATTCCCGCATGGCATTGAGGGAATCCAACGGGAGGGGTTCAGCTGTGCTGAGTAATTGTCCTATGACGGAACGAAACCCCGCTAGTGCTTCCTGGTACTCGTCGCCGCTACACTGATCTCGTGGCCAGATGTCTGCCAAAATAAGCCGATACATATCATACAACTTGTTTGCCCATTTCCCAGGATCGCGGTTCATGACAATTTCAAAGCGAGACCTTGGGTTTATGCCAGGAAGGTTTCCTTTAATGTATTCGCATGCGAGACGTGCCCACTCGAAAAGTCCATCGGCTTTCGTAGCGAGGTTCACAAACTCTTTGCCCCCCAAGCGCGACACCCCTTTTAGCTTGTCAGATACAAAAGCGCAGATGTCGCGCTCCGCTACTGCTGCTGGAATCTTGTCCATGGATAACGGTAGAATATGCTGGGCGCCATGAAATGTATCTTCGATATCACGAAGTGGTCGGGAGGTGACGAGAATCCGAAAGTTAGATGGGAGTTCTGTGATTTTGGGAAGACCTTTTTTCTGAAGGGTTCCGGCAAGTATGTCGAGAAGGTCCCGCCGCGTCTCCACTCCGCCGCTCTCGTCCAGCGCTTCGATCACGATCAAGACAGGTTCCACGCTTGACCTAGGTAATTTCTTCAGTGGTTCCATGAGAAGCTTCTCCCACTGCTGGAAAATGTCCTTCGAGTTCTTGAGTGAGGTGGAATTTTTCACAGCATCCGCCAATGCTCGTCTCATCTTCGGATCATGATCAGCTAGGTCACGAGCGATGGTGGAGAAAACTTGTTCATGGCGTTTCTCGATCTTGTCGAAGCAGAAGCATGAACCGAGCATCCCTATGTCACTAAACAATTTGGCAATCGTGTGAGCGATGGCTGATTTGCCGGTTCCTGCAGGGCCAGATAGCCACAGCACGCGTTTAGCAGCATCTCCGCTGTCGTTGATCCAATCCGTAATCTGGGAGATAATCTCCGTGCGCGTCTCTGGGAGGCATTGTTTCATGGTATTTAATCCTGCGCCCTTTGCATACGCGATATCCCCAAGATCCAGGGTATCGCCTGAAACGGTGAGTGAACGTAAAGACAGAACCGCGTCAGAATCCTTACCCGTACGATGGACGAAGACGACCACGTCCCGATCAGTTTGGTCCCGGAATTGTTGCATAAGGTCATCCAAAATGTCGCTGTACTTTGTGATGATGTCGTCGGTCTCGGTTTTCGTGAGAACATTTTCCCCGAGTCTCTTCCCTACGATAATAGTATGAGATTCATGTACGAAGTGCGACAGCTTGATGACTCACAAAAGCTCTTTGTCTCCGAGTAGTCCCTGATAAAGCGGGCGCACTCAAGAGTCTGCTGAATTATCTTTCCCACGATATCGCGCATCGATTCAATTTTGCCAAGGCCATCATCTTGAGTCATGAAATGATAGACTTTAGCCATTCTCTGGAGAAGACCATGGATTGATTTGTCGCGCTCCGCTTGAGCGATTATAATCTACATGGAATTACGACTTTTGAGCAGGAGACTGAACTCCGAAAAGAACCGGACGTACTTTGGATGCAGCAGACAGCACACACAGCGCTAACTTTGCGTACGGATGTACCTATACAACCTGATCAGTTCGCTTCCAGTCAACAAGAATGACCCATACATCCGAGATCTTCTCAAGAACATCGTTGATAATCTTTAGGGGTTGGAGGTACGTCGTCTCAAAATCATCCGCGGCAGCGAGACCCGCTGGGGCCTTGTTGGCGGCGGATGCAATAGAAGTCGCGCGTCCTCCGAGCCGTCTCATGCTCTCCATGCCATCACAAGCACCCTCAAGCTCAGCATCGACTAATTTGGGATTAGGTCCTTCCTCGTCGCCAGGAGGAGCAGCCTGAACCTGTGGGACCACCGAAATTAGAGAAGAAAATCAAAGAATTTGATGAAAATACCTGTGAAGCAGGCTCTCCGGACAGCCCTTGGTTCACAGAGTCGCTGGGAATCTCAGATGTAGTGGGACACTTGTTGTTGTTGGAAGGATGGAGATGCAGCGTGTCCTGGGCGCCTCTAAGAAAACAGAAGGACTAGGACGGCAAGTAGAAGCACTTACCTCGACTTTCTGACCCGATGAAGCCTCTTCGGTTTCAACGTTCTGGACCGCAGCGGTGTAGTTGCTTGTTGGCTTGAAGCGTTTCTGCACGATATCAGCCGTATTCATGACAGTCAGTATTCACGTCCACGCACAGGAAGTTTTTTGGCTAACGCATTCTTCAATCTCCGTAGGGACCGACAGATTCCTCTACGAGGTTGGTTCTGGATGAAAAATGCGTAAGGGCAGCGATGAATTTCAGAGACCACATACCGAGCTTTCAGCAACATTTGCCCGGATGGATCTGGAGGCTCCTGGAGGAGAATCTGGCCTATGGTCTTCACTCATAGCGAATGGTCGTAGATCAGTATGAATAAAACCGTGGGGGGAAATGAGAAGAGTGTGAGAAGGGGACAGGCGTCTAATCCTTTGGCAGAGCCGGGGCCGAACGTTGGAAGCATGGCCAACACATTGACTTCAAGCGCTGACCATTCCGAGCCACGCAATTCGCATCGGTTCATAGCGGCAGGTTGATTAGTGTATACGCATCACAGTGCAATGAAGGGAGATGCAAAGTCGAGAGAGCTCTGTCTACTCTAGAGTCGAATTACACAGCAGCTCCTTCATGCTAGGTCTGGCGTTGTCAAAGTTCAAGTTGGCCCCGATAAGCCTGCATGCTAATGTGGTAGCAACTGTTCCGAGTCGAATTTCAAGCACACGACGAGACCGGTGCATAGGAAGAGACAAAGGTGCTGATATTGGTGAGGCGGCTCTACTGCAAGTAATGGTATCATGAGCTCACTAAGGCCAGTGACTCAGGCTGCCACTAGTCTGGTAAGTCTCTCCTACGACCGAGTATTCGAACACTGGCACCCGACCAAAAGGCAGCGAGTTCTTTTGATGAGCTGGCGCGTGGGAAGTACGCGCATATGCATAATAACGTTCGAACTTCGCGCAGGCAATTCCATTTTACTTGAAACGATGGCAGCTGCTTCAGAGGAACAACCAGTCATCAACAAAAACAAGAGGCATTGCAAAGAAAAACGTAAGCTTCCAAACCTTCCTTAACAATCCATAAGGCAACTTTACATTTCAGCATGGGACACCGATGACATCGACCAGTGAGCATCGCCCGCACGTCAGTTAAAACCGCTTCTCACCGTACCTCCTCTCCAGTGTGAGCACCCAAATCACACATGCTCTAACACGTACTCAACTCTACTCCAGTGGAAAATCGATTCATTCCAAGCAGATGACAACAAAGGCGGCGTATTCACCGAAGAATCTTCTTTCGCAACCCTTTTCCCGAAATACAGAGAAAAGTACTTGAGGGAGGTTTGGAGCGCCGTAACCAAAGTTCTAGACGCCCACGTGAGTGCTCACATCCATTCCGCCATACTATGCACACCATCAACTCAGCACCCAGGGTATCGCATGCACACTGGACCTAGTTCACGGATCCATGTCCGTCCGGACAACACATAAAACATTCGATCCACACATCATCCTCAAAGCAAGAGACCTCATCAAACTACTCGCAAGAGGGGTTGCGATCACGCAGGCTCAGAAGGTACTACAGGACGACATGGCTTGCGATATCATCAAAATTGGGAATCCGGTTCGTAACAAGGACAGGTTTGTGAAACGGAGACAACAGATTATTGGACCGGATGGGAGTACGTTGAAGGTGAGCGTTGCATAGTTTTGAATGTCTGCATGTCGTTGACTTTTTTCAGGCCATTGAGCTATTAACCCAGTGCTACATTCTCGTACAAGGGAATACCGTCAGCGTCATGGGTCCGTACAAGTCACTAAAATAAGTCCCACGAATAGTCCTTGATTGCATGAAAAACATTCATCCCATCTACCGCATCAAGGTTTGTCAATTAACATTTGTTCTTTCCGCAGCTTTATTGAAACGTTCGCAGGAACTGATGATAAGAAGGGAACTCGCAAAAGATCCCAAATTAGCAACAGAGTCCTGGGACCGGTTCCTCCCCACGTTCAGGAACATCTGAAGACCTCCGAAAAGACGATGAAGAAGAACGGGAAAGTCGCTGCTAAGGAAGAAGCGCGCAAGGCTTCAGGCCTTGATGCATCGAGTTCCGACAAAAAGGAGAAACCAGCGAAGAAAGTGTACACGCCCTTTCCCCCGCCACAACGATTACGGAAGGTAATTCACTCTGCTGCTGGTTGTCGAGTAGTGCTGATGCTTGGTTATGTCTAGGTTGACCTTCAGCTCGAGTCGGGAGAGTATTTCCTCAAGCCCCATGAATGGGAGGCCCGGGAAGTTCAACAAAGAAAACAAAAGGTGCATGTTTACTGTGCAGTCCGCAAAAAATCTCATTTTATCTACAGCAAGCCGAAGCAACCCTCAAACGACGAGCAGAACGGGCAGAAGTATACGTCGCTCCCACAGAAGAGGCGGCCCCTACAGTTGAAGAGAAACGAAAGCGACAGCACACAGAAGTGGATGCCAAGGATGGGACGGCAAGGTAAAGGACATTGCTGTCTAGGCGCAATGGACTTGCCACACCGTTCGTGTGCACATCGTGAACGCAATGCTACTCGTAGAGTATTTTGATGCACGCTGCGTATCGAAGACATCCTACTGCCAACACTATGTTTGACCCATGATGCATTACTAGCGTTATACCAAGATACGATAAAAACCCACTAAGTACACGCACTGAATCGATTCAACAAGTGTCGAACAAAAAGCACGATCAAGTAGGAATATCCCCCTGCAGCCTAAAGTCCCTACTGCTTGCACCGATAGAGAATGAGATCTGGCCATCAGGCTTGCACCACCCCTGAGCGACGACGTCCCAGATAGACAGGTCATAGCGCGAGAGCGTGATCGAGGCTTGTTCTGTGCTTGACGGCGAGATTTCGACGTTTGTGAAGCCCTTTAGGACTGATGGAGGCTTGCTAGCGGAAGACGGGAAGTGAATGTACTGAGGAATCTATTCGCGTGACTTGGGCGTAAGCATCAAGATAATGAAGTTAAGTGGTGTCACGAACCTCCATTCCAGACACAGGTCCAGTGTTCGTGACCTTGAAAGTTACCTGGAATGCAGGTTCTTGGAGACTGGTAAGTAATGAAATCAGCCTGCAGATCCTTCATTGGTCTTAATGAACCTCGCCAAAGCGCACTAGAAGACCCTTCAGCGATGGGTGAAGCCTTCCCGTTCTCCCAAGCAGCGATCAAATCCTCTTGATCAGCAAAGACAATCAAAAGAATCGATGATTAAAATGTATGCACCTACAAGGTTCTTGGCTTTTTGGTAGGTAGTAGCCCACACAGGCGCAAAATCGGGCACGATTTGTAGATCAATGCTAACGGAAGAGGATCAGTTGCAGGGTAAACTGGGGGGAGAGGGCTGAGAGTAGGTGTAGGATAGGGAGCGAATGAATAGCTAGAGAGCGGAACAGCGATAACACCGGTTGTGGACGCGCCTGAGGTACTGGCGGAAGCAGAAGATTGCAGCAGTTGATGAATAATTGAGATTGTGACCTTACCAGCTACCGTAGCGCTAACATTACCACCCGAAGCAGACGGAGCCAAGGTCGGTGCACCTAGAACGAATAAAATTATACATGACAGTAACAACAGCAAGCTATGCGTCATATAACCTCTGAACTGATTTCCTTTTTCTGCCAAGGTTCGTTTCCGGACTCCCAACTCGATCTCTCATTTTATTTACTCCTTTGTCTCTGTATCGAAAACCTAGCTCCGTATTCCTTCCGCACCAAGTCCTCATCACACTCGTCACATACGGCATCCAGATACCTTGAATGTTGGTCATGAGATAAGTATCAAAACACGGTCAATATGACTTTGTACCTTCCACGGTGAGCCATATCACAATGTCCTAGAACTCTACTCTTTGCACATCTTACCTCGTTTGTGCGAGTGGGAGTGCGTCAGGGAGTTTCTGTCCTATGACAATGAACTCTCGTCTGACAAAACACGCGTGAGTTCATGATCCTTGTGTCGTACTGAACTCAATATTACCAGGAACTTCATTTGGCCCTCGAGGCTCAGCATGCTCATGCGTTAGAGAGTACAATGCGGGAGACGCCCAAAACTCGAGACTCCACCAACACCTTCACCCCGCTCTCTATCACCAGCCTCTTCCCCATCCTTCTATCCACAACATCTACTCGTACCACCGTCCCAGCACCCCCCCGTCCAAAACTTACCCGTCAACAATCTGCGTCCTCTACCTCAGCAGCTTCAGACTCCACCATAACCAGATCCCCTCGCCACCACCACAACCGAAGCATGCCCCGAGGAAGCTCAAGTACCGGTGGCATTCCTATCTCCCGCGTCCCGCCAGTCAGCCATAGTCTCGCAACTGCACGACCCCCCTAATACCCATCGATCTTATTTCAACCACTATTTCACCACAAACAGATTAGCCACCATCAGTTGTGTTCTTCCTAATTCCCCTTACATATCTGATCCTCGGAGGCGGTGGCGGGACTTGGTACGGAGGAGGTTATTGGAAGCCCATGGCAATTCGGTGACGAGACAGTCGTGAACGAGTTGGTGAGGGTGGTTTTAGATACTGTTAGGATGAGTGGTAGGGGACTTGTATAACTCACGGTGCGCCCGCTTAGTATCGGTCTTCTTAGCCAGACCAAGTAGAAGATGATGCTGAGGCCATAGGCCATGTAATTATACATAGTGATCTTTCAAGTGGTTCGAACTTTATTTTAACAGCAGTCGTGGAGGGGCTAAAATTCTGAATGTGCAAGTTGGAGCAGACGTCTAGTGAGTAATATATGAGGCAACAAATGCACCACTGCATCTGTTCAGAGGTCGTATTTAAAAACCCTTGCACCGATCCGAAATAAATCAGACAGAACATAATGTCATCAATGCAAAGTGCGAAGACAATACCAGTGAATCGCTCTGCGGCATGTCATAGACGATGAAGTGGGAGCACTGAGCTGCAATGCTTCTCATGCAGCTTCCCTCTCCGCGGCCAGCAGCGTTCACATCTACTTCAAATCGCACTCAACCTTTTTCCTTCTTCGCGCGTTCCCTTCGCTTGTTCAATGACTCCAATCTTCCCCAACACCTACATCGGCTGTCGTGACCCGAGGCTATCCTAGTAATTCCGACTTCGAGAGTGTAGAAGCAGGCAAGGGCTTAGGTAGAGGAGGGGGGTGTCATCATTCTCCACAACTTAGTTTGTCTGGGTGCAGCAAGAAATACAACCTATCCTTCCGCGCAGCTTTGCGCACCATCTGAAGCCGGTGGTCAATTTCCGCTTGCGAGAGCGTTCGCTTGGTGCAGAGGTTTTCGACCTTGTTCAAATTTACTAGGTCCGGGAGCACCATTCTCTTCAAATACCTGTATCATGAGACTGTGTGCGTCAACCAAGACATATATTGATGTCGATTCACTGCAGAGACCACATGGGATGCTCAGGATGGGGCGATCGAGTAGAAGGTAGCCTTGTTGTTCCACGCACGATAGTTGGAATCCTGTTTCAAATCCAGATTGTAGTAAATGTCTTTGGTCAAAAATGACGTTGTCGATGAAACTGTACTGCGCCGAAGGCAAGCAATAATGGTGCAACCAGATTATTTGGAGTCATCAGGGAATGGCGGCCATGACTTTGACATGCAAGAATTGCTCAAGCAATCTGCTTGCCAAGACACGGAGTTCGCCACTTAATCTGTGCGCATGTGGAAATACTGGCAAGTACAAAACAGAAGACGACGAAAATGGCTCGAAAACGCTACTGCGAACGTACCTAGACCAGAGTAGGTGGCAAGTCTTAACTAGTACACCTCTAAGTACAGTACATCAGTCAGTCAGACAACCGTAAATTCAGGCTCGGTGCTAGGTATAGAAATGAACAAGGAATCAAAGAATCAAATGGTACACCCGATGTTGCGGCAATAAAATCATCGTTACATGGAGCTAGAAGTCCTAATGTTAGTAACTGCAAGGACGGATGATAAACACAAAGAACTAACGCATCTCGGCAACTCGACCAGTGTGTCCCATGTGCCATGCGGCTCAAATCAAGTTCGGGATGTCCTCTGGGAATCACCAATGAAGTCCAAGGAGTATAAAATGGACGTCGGGAAGCGGGAGGCACCCAGAAAAGGAGCTGATGATTGGGTCCCATGATCCATCCATCAGCCTGCAGCAAGAAAGGTGTTGAATTAGAATTATGATGAGAAGTGGGTTCCAGCAAGTCAGCGGGATTGGGCAGGGCGTGTTCTTGGCTGGACGAGAAGGAAATGACGTGATTGTTACAAGTGCTGGTTGGCATGGTACGGCTTTGTTGGGTGGGAGGTGTAGTGCTTCGATGGAGTGAAAATGAGGAAGAATCTGGCTCGCTGGACATGGAGGATAGCTGCACTTTCACTGCATCCCACAGCCGCACAGTCCTTATCGTGCGAACCAGACGCGATGCGAGTACCATCCGGTGAGAACGAGACTGAGTAAACCAAACTAGTGTGCCCCTCCAAGGGCTCACCCAATGGCTGTCCCGTGATTGCATCCCACAGCCGCACAGTCTTATCCGCCGAACCAGACGCGATGCGAGTACCATCCAGTGAGAACGAGACTGACGAAACCCAACTAGTGTGCCCCTCCAAGGGCTCACCCAATGGCTGTCCCGTGGTTGCATCCCACAGCCGCACAGTCATATCCCAAGAACCAGACGCGATGCGAGTACCATCCGGTGAGAACGAGACTGACCAAACCCAACTAGTGTGCCCCTCCAAGGGCTCACCCAATGGCTGTCCCGTGATTGCATCCCACAGCCGCACAGTGTTATCCTTTCGAACCAGACGCGATGCGAGTACCATCCGGTGAGAACGAGACTGAGTCAAACCTCAACTAGTGTGCCCCTCCAAGGGCTCACCCAATGGCTGTCCCGTGATTGCATCCCACAGCCGCACAGTGTTATCCTTTGAACCAGATGCGATGCGAGTACCATCCGGTGAGAACGAGACTGAGCAAACCCAACTAGTGTGCCCCTCCAAGGGCTCACCCAATGGCTGTCCCGTGATTGCATCCCACAGCCGCACAGTCTTATCCTCCGAACCAGACGCGATGCGAGTACCATCCGGTGAGAATGCAACTGATCGAACCTCATCAGTGTGCCCCTCCAAGGGCTCACCCAATGGCTGTCCCGTGATTGCATCCCACAGCCGCACAGTCTTATCCAAAGAACCAGACGCGATGCGAGTACCATCCAGTGAGAACGAGACTGAGTAAACCGAACTAGTGTGCCCCTCCAAGGGCTCACCCAATGGCTGTCCCGTGATTGCATCCCACAGCCGCACAGTGTTATCCTCCGAACCAGACGCGATGCGAGTACCATCCGGTGAGAACGAGACTGAGTAAACCCAACCAGTGTGCCCCTCCAAGGGCTCACCCAATTGCTGTCCCGTGATTGCATCCCACAGCCGCACAGTCTTATCCTTTGAACCAGATGCGATGCGAGTACCATCCGGTGAGAACGAGACTGACGAAACCGAACTAGTGTGCCCCTCCAAGGGCTCACCCAATGGCTGTCCCGTGATTGCATCCCACAGCCGCACAGTGTTATCCTTTGAACCAGACGCGATGCGAGTACCATCCGGTGAGAACGAGACTGAGTAAACCTCACTAGTGTGCCCCTCCAAGGGCTCACCCAATTGCTGTCCCGTGATTGCATCCCACAGCCGCACAGTCTTATCGTCCGAACCAGACGCGATGCGAGTACCATCCGGTGAGAACGAGACTGACGAAACCAAACTAGTGTGCCCCTCCAAGGGCTCACCCAATGGCTGTCCCGTGATTGCATCCCACAGCCGCACAGTCTTATCCAAAGAACCAGATGCGATGCGAGTACCATCCGGTGAGAACGAGACTGACGAAACCTCTCTAGTGTGCCCCTCCAAGGGCTCACCCAATGGCTGTCCCGTGATTGCATCCCACAGCCGCACAGTCTTATCCTCCGAACCAGACGCGATGCGAGTACCATCCGGTGAGAACGAGATTGACCAAACCTCTCTAGTGTGCCCCTCCAAGGGCTCACCCAATGGCTGTCCCGTGATTGCATCCCACAGCCGCACAGTGTTATCCTGCGAACCAGACGCGATGCGAGTACCATCCGGTGAGAATGCAACTGATCGAACCTCATCAGTGTGCCCATTGATTATGATCTGAACAACCGTCCAGTTCAAATCACGACCGCATGCCAGACGAAGGTTATTCGGAAACCTTGACGTGAATTTGGTAGCCATGGCGGAGTTGACCGGCGAGAATGGGAGCCCTGATAAATACAGATGTGGCGTGCTGTGCAAAATCATCCTGCCAAACACTTGCATGAATCTTTGTACATCCATCGTGGTCGTCCGCAAATCTTCGTATCCAGAATGGCCCTGTATGTATTCATGAGCTGCTCATCCGACACTGACTCATAGGCATGTGCTCACCTTCAGCCACTTGGCAACAAGCGGAAGCACAATAATTGCACCCCTGATTGCATTAAGAAGTCCGAGTGCTTCGATCCAGAAGAGCAGTCGCTCGTCGTCGAAAAATGATCTGGTCCCCTTTGCGAGCTCATCGTCGAAGTCCGTTGCTTGAACGTGAGTAGCCCAGAATCGACAGGAATAGGATAGATGTGGGGAAATGGATGTTTTGACTCGTTGAGCCAGTCCGGTATCTTCGCGATTAGGGAGGTATGATGACTTTAAATCACATATATTGAAGCGAAGGCCATGTTCCATCACTCGAAGTGATGCCAACGCTAAGTCGTGGTGTTGCGTCTTCGTCACCTCGACGAAAAAGTCTCCGCTAGATGATTTGTCTGTGAGGAACTCTTGGAAGGATGCGTGAAGGGGTTTGACGGGGATGTGTGAATCCGTTGTGCCGCTGAGGAGGGATCCCATATGTTGTATGATGTTCATTTTGTAATGTTTGCTGTGGTTTGGAAAATAGTCTCGCATGGCATTGAGGGAATCGAAAGGGAGGGGTTCAGCCGTGCTGAGTATTTGTCCCATCACGGAACGAAACCTTTCTAGTGCTTTCTGGTATTCGGCATCACTATACCGGGCTTTTGGCCAGAGTTTGCCAAAATAGCCGATACATATCATACAACTTGTCCGTCAATTCCCCAGGATCGCGGTTCACGACAATTTCAAATCGAGACTCTGGGTCTACGCCGGGAAGGTCTTCCTTGATGTATTCGCATGCAAGACGTGCCCACTCAAAAAGTCCATCGGCTTTCGTAGCGAGGTTTACGAACTCTTTGTCCCCAAACTGCGACAGCCCTTCTAGCTTGTCAGATACAAAGGTGCAGATGTCACGCTCCGCCACTGCTGTTGGAATCTCATCCATCGATAACTGTAGAATATGCTGAGCGCCGTGAAATGCATCTTCGATATCATGAAGTGGGCGAGAGGTGACGAGAATCCGAAAGTTGGATGGAGTTCTGTGATTTGGGGA